TAGGTGACATGGTGGTACTAGTAGTAGTAGTAGTAGTAGTAGTAGTAGTAGTAGTAGTAGTACTAGTAGTAGTATGTGAACGAGATCGATTCGCGCTTTTTGGAGTACGAGTTGATGTTGAAGAGGGAGTTCGTTTTGATGAACTAGATGAAGGATGCCTTTGTCTTGCAGTAGGTGTTGTGCTAAAACATATAAGAATGAATTTGAAATGAAAACTTTCGTTGGATTAACATAACAAGGATAATAATATTAAAATTTAACTCATTGGAATATCAAATATTCACTGGTAAATAATAGAAGGGTAGATGATACTGAATCGGTGTACTATTTCTTAATTGTCAGTAGGCAAATATAAGTAAGTTTTCAAAAAATCCAGTCAGTCAGCAAAATAATAGAACTTCGTACGTACATCCATCAGTTTACGCTGCCATACCACATTAGCACAGAGATGTAATTGACAATTCAAATCGTACAGTGTCAGACGTAGTAGAAGTATTGGGCGGTAATGGACAGACAGACAGATCAAACGCAGAACTTCGTACGTAAGTACATCAGTTCAAGTTGGCATACCGCATTAGCATAGAGACGCAACTGTCAGTTGAAATCCAATAGTGGTAGCGATAGTAGAATTATTAGCAGTAATGGAGAAGATTAGGGTTCGAAGATATGATTCAAGAATTAAAATCCAGTGAAGTAAATTTAAAAAGAGAAAGATAAGGGTGATGAGGAATTTAGAAGATTAGAAATTGAGAAAACACAAAGGATACACCTGCGCCATTGCATCGAAGGTCTCTAATCACCAATAACTATAGTCTCGCGGACCCCAACCAGGTAGTCTACACGTACCAACATGTCTCCGTCCATTAATCAGTAAATTCACGGATTCAACCATGTTTTGGTTTGGCCGATACTAGCTTTCTTCCAGCTTACCCCTACACTATAAAACATCGCTCGTCGAGGTAGTCAGTGGTTGGGCATTCGTAACACACGTCCTAACTACCGCAAATGATGAAGTTTCAATACTTCATCTATTGATTTGCCATCCCTAACCAGTACTCTTTTCCTAAAGCAGGATATATGAGTAATGTTTCGTAGACACATATGATCGAATACTAGTAGATTAGGAATATTTCCTACTCTTACTGGTCATGTTTCACAGCCATAAAGTAGGACGGAACAAAGTGCTGCGCAGTAAATCTGTCCTTCGGTTAGTAGATGGATATCTCACCTACTCCATAAAAGAAATTGACAAAAACTAATCTATTAAATCCTTTAAAATTACTACAATTACAGAAATTCCTAGCAGCATGTTATAATCTGTATTACTTAGTACATAACTGAAATGTTTACTTGATAGTTAAGAGTATGAGTTGTATTATAACAATTTTTTAAAATTAAACCAGATACTCGAAATCATCTAGTAATTAGTTGTTTATATATATTTTGTTAAAATTAACATTTTTATAGACAGTACATAAATTCAGAGGCCTACAATCAAAATCCCGAAGGGAAGAAGTAACCAAATTTAAAACGGCGTTTCTCATCATATACAAAGATTATACTGCGGAAATAATTAGTTTTCAAAAAAAAAAACAACTGTTAAACTAACTTTGTTGGCTTTTTACGAGATTCTCGTTTCATTGGTATACGTTTTGTCGGAGTACGACATTTACGTTTTGATCGTTGACATGGTATAAGTACCAGATGAGGAGTAGTTGGTAAAGTTTTACAAGATCGATATTTACTGGATGATTCATTGTTGACTGGACAAGAATTAATAATATTGGTTAGAGTTGGAGTGGATGTCAAAGGATTTGGGGTTTCATTAGATGCAAGTGAAATATGCACTGAATCAGTAAATAAAGCACGTGGAAGTGATTGTCTGAGAGTATTGCGTGGTACTGGTGAAGCTTGTATAACATTTGGTGGCCTATTATTATTCATAGGAAATAACGAATCAAAATTTGCTTGATTAAATAAACGAATTAAAGCCGGGTATATATAAACTTTTCGAAAATTTGAGTGCCTTATTTAATACCCTATACAAGACTTATTTGATGATACTACTAAATAAAACTGACTTGATTTACTAACCTTATTTAAGCACAAACATCAATACACAAAAGAGCAATAAAATATACATACGCCACAGGAATTATTGAATTTATGCGTGGGCTGAAATACTCTGTCCGGTAGCCCAAACTGTAGTTATTTCAAGGGAACATTCCCTGAGCCTTTCACCTACAGATCTAATCCACAAGGTAGTCGAGTAACGTTATGAGATGCAGTCTCATGATAGCCAATGACCAACAATAGTTTCATATACCATTAGTTTGGAACCAAGGTTTTTTTAACTCGCCTAGATGGATCCTCCGTACTCACTAGCTTGATTTAAACTTCAGTCGGACATTCTCTGTTTGTCTTCTCAACTTTGTAAACAACAGCTGTACCACGAGAAGGCAGTGAGTAGAATTTCTCTGACAGTTGTTAAGCTCAAGTGGCTGTAGGAGAGGATTAATTCTCCTCACTTTTGACCGTAGCAGGGCAATTATATACGTTTACTTACATTCATGCTAGAACCTAATTTAAATGCGTTACAAGTTTCAATGAGTAAAGTATCGTTTTAGAACTAATTTAACTCAAGTTTGCCCGAGAATTTCGTCAACACGGTCTATCTGACGTTTTAATATCAAATTAGATAGCAAAGATGCTTGATACAATCTCTTTAGTCAAACAGTTTACATGTTAGTAATTCATGAGAATAATTGTACAATGATATTAATTAATAGGATTTATAGTGGGCCTACATTTTGACTATTTTAAGCTTAGTATTACACTATAAGACTTTCAGGATTGTTTTCAAGCATAAGTTAGGTAGCGACATCAAGCTGGATTGATTGAAAAATCCTGTGGGTGTAAGAAGGATTTGATTTCGATCAATTTGGTCTCTCGCACTGTTACGGGTATGAGGGCGGTTGTCACTTCCCGGCTGCCCACACCGTGGAAGGTTGTTTCTTGAGGGACCTGAAAAGGAAGATAGATTAGTGTTGGTCTTTGAGACCTAGGTGCGTGACCGCAGAGCCCAGGGGACAAATGCTTGAGGCCGGTCACGCATGGCCTTTTGATGAAAGGATTTTTGAGTATTAGCTACGCTCTTGAAAGCCCTTAGTGGGCACCCTTACCCAAGGAGACGGAAATCCGTGAGGTGAGGTGGGGTATGGCATTTTTAAGGTCGAACTGTTCTAACCCATTCTTTTCTTGTGGAAAGGCAGAATCGCTGCAAATGCTGGTTGTCTGAGGGAAACACCTTACAGCTGTCACACCCCTCTGCAGTCAGCAGTACGACTTCGCCCCCGGACCTTGAGTGGCTGCTTTTAGTCTCATCGTTCTCCAATCGACTTGTTTGGCATGGTAGAACCTTCAGGAACATATGTTCGAGCCAGTATAGCTTGGTTGGGTCATGAAGATAGGCAAGCCCGACCACCACGTCAAGGTAGCAGCTACGGTCGGGTGAAAAATCCTGTCTGAATAGATTGCTGATATTAAATGACCTTCTATTGAAGATCAACTGGCTTACAAGTACATGTACATAAATGCGATGAAACCCTGAAATCTGTTATAATCCACTTGATTATTAATCTCACATGATTTTCAACAAACAGTCGATTATTGCTCATAATTGACACCAAGTAAGTCACCATGACGTACTATCAATTATACAACAAAGATAACGATAACAAGATTTGATCATTTTAAAAGATTGTTTATCTTAAGCTGCTTGTGTAATTGTAGGTTTTTATGATAAAGTTTTCAGTGTCTGAAATCGGATACATAAGAATTAAAGCGGCATTGTTAAAATTTCACAATGTCAGTCAGATTTTTCCTCAAACTCAACCAAATGACTTTGTTGAAGTTGGCATAAACAATTGTCAAACACTACTCATTAAAAGTTGAATCGTAGTTAATCATACATCCTTAAAGTAAGCAAACATATACAAACTAAAGGTCGTGGCATAGAAATGAGACAATTATAAGGTAGGCGGTAAATGTTGAGAGTATTAGGATGAACTGATAGGATTATACGGGTACCAGAGGAGTCTGCTATATTTATAGCTGTGGAAATCAACACAAGGTGTTACGAATTTTGACGCAAATAAGAGTGATATGACATTATGTTAGAACTATTCACTAGGCAGAAGACCAAGGTGAGCTGTGCAGCGACACGCAACTGAAAGGTGACATAATAGCCAATGCAAAGCCTTAGGTAAAAATTCGCCATTTTAAGAATTGAAGATGAACTGAAACATAAGCAGATGGGGAAATTAAACTTGAGTTGACGAAATTATCGATTTTGAAGACAGACAAAGAATGGTTAATTTCGAACTATATTATCTGAGGTCTTCAAATACCTTCATCTCGATATGAATCATGCCAGACCTCTAACTTGACGAAGGGATCCTATTTCTTGATAAGAAAAAACGTGTATTAAGTGATGATTCAGGTGGGATTCTCGGTCATTTACATGGCCATAACATAAATTCAACGGATGTGACCAAGTTTAGTAATTTACTCATAATGAAACAATAATTGTTTCAGATATTTTATTCTATATTTTTGGTCAAAGTGCAAAAACGGTACAGAATTTTTTGAGGAGACATAAATGAAAACTTCGGGATAGGGTAGATCAGTGGGACTCATATCAGAAGTGTGCTTAGATATGAACTACAGATATCATTAGAAAAATATTAGTTTATTAAAACCACTATCAACAGTCAAAAGTATATACAACACGTACAAAGAGTTTGCCACTGCCCCATCGACTTCATCCAGATTTTCTTCTAGAGAATGTGATTCTGATGTTGTTAGTTCTGAATCATTCGGCAAGCATTCAGGCGGTTCTAAACCAAGATTGATATACACATGGAATAATGTGCGCCCAAAGGCTATCTTGTACCTTTGAAGTTATTAATTGATTTCGAAATTACCTATCAACAATTTCCAATCTAAGAAATTTCTTCCACTCGTGACAAGTTGGATCACATAAACTAAGTCGGCTTATCAGTTCCGAAATCTAAACTTAAATACGATAATCTTCATTTTAATTACCCAATCACCAAGTTCATGATCAGCACATAGTTCAGCTTCTTCAAATGAGCATAAAAGACGAATATGTAGGACTAACAAGATTTGGAATTGTAATCTGGAAGTGTTAGGTAACAAGTGACTTACTCTCTAGACAATTTTTCATTTCCATTGTCTGACGAATGATTTTCCAGAATCTGCTTGTACGACATTTTCATTTCGCTGTCTACACGCTGCGCTAGAAGCTAAAAAGACAATTATTAACGAAGTGTGTCACTTTTTTCTCTTCAGGTGACAAGTTTATACTCATTTCAGAGAGCCGAGTAGTGAATTCAAGTGACGTAACTTCACCATTCTCAACAGCATCATCAAAAACATTTTTAATGGCAGAAAAATGTCCATTTGAGTTCGACATTTTCGGTAACAACTAAGTAAAGGTACATCCCATTGATTTCAAAACAGTTCCGTCGTCCGAATGACCTTCAGTATGTAACTGGAATCAATCATTTCGAAAAGTTTGAATTTCTTATCAGTCCCAAAACACTTTTTATAGTGATGGAAAAATAAATCTCGTCCTTCGTTTCAATTCGATGTTAAAAAAAGTCGCACCTGGTTGAAGAAATGATTGGCAGAATAACACATTTTGTTAACGTGTCTGTAAATTTATTTTTTCTTTTTAAATTTTTTTAAAAGGTGGTGAAAGTAGCCAGGAGGCATCTTTTGTAGGAAATCAGTATTGCAATTCAATATATTGACGGTTACGATACTGGTTTACTGCTGTTTTACTTGTCCTTATATTTGACTGCTACACTTTCATTTTGTAAAATTTAATTAGGTTCGCTAGGTGTTTTACTCATCATTGTGTTTTTGCGGATGCCATTGTACCACAGTGTGAATTCATATTTAAATTAACTCAATTAATATTTCCTATTGGGTAGGAACACGTTTCTTTATTGACAGAGACATTTATCCCCTTGAACAAAGGGCTAGTTTCATATTCCATTAAGAATATTTAATGTCAGATGCACTCAAGAGTGTCACTTCAATGTTGACTAACAACACACACTTTGGCATCTGTTACTGCGTTCACGTAAATTTCCAACTGTGATGCTGACCTCATTGGTTTCACAAGACCGAACCTAGCTAAAGGCACTCAGTCTAGCATCCACAGCAGTTCATGAGTGGGTACGTCGTGTTAATCGTCCCTCTGAGCAACTTGTCAACTGGGACCACACATACAGATTATATATTATCTTCTGAATATGCCTTAATTTTTGTAGCTTAAGTAAACCAGCGGATAGAAGAGTAAATATAGTTATTACGATTTTCTTTATTCTGATTCTTAGTGTTGGATACACTGTTCCCCATTTTCAAACTTGACTAAATCCAACCCTCAACCTTCGAAAGGTAGGCTGAAGATTAGTCATTCAATCAAAACCGAAGATACACTTGTGTTTGCTACGTCAAGAAAACTAGCACAGCGTAAGCTTAAAATAGCCAGTTCCGAATTCGACTACATGGTAGATCCGTCCCTGTGATAGTCAGTAGGCATTTTCTATTCACATCGTACCGAAGGTGACTGGAGACTATGTGGGGGTTAAAGAGCCCTTAGTTGTCAAACCATACAAGCATTCCAAAGGTTATTGACAATGTACTTTCAGATATATCTTCCGCTTGGGGATATATAGGCGATGTGGTCCATATTTTTCTGGCAGCTTGCCTGAATATACGAGTTATCTATTTCCTAACATCAAAAGTTTTCAACAGTTTACCCCTTTTTGTTTGTTCTAAGACGTCACTTATATCTTTCTAACCATACAATCTATTGAGACGTGGATACAAGGTCTGCAAACTATCTCTTCACAAGGTTTGAAAGTGTGCAATATGCGGTACGCCGGTGGTTGACAGTCTGCTAAGAAAAGGATGAACAATAATAAAATATCATTTCCTGCATTGCTTACTTTGAACTGCAGATTAATAATTGTTTTTTAAACGAATCTTGTTGGGCCGATACCTGGAATTCGACATAGTATGAACAACAAGTGATAGCTATTTTACAATGGATAGATGAAAGTAGATTGAACACACATCAAAGTAAGTGTTTTCGGAGTCAAGACTTTAGGACTTCTCGGCATAAGTTAAACTCTGAAGGAATTACATCAATAAGAAAAGTAGGTAGTGACCACTGAGCAATACCCCAAACCAAGTTGTATAGCATAACTCAGAAGATTTTCTGTTTTGATTTACTTTAATCGCTGATTAATACCCAGTTGTGTACAACTAATGCAACTACTGTAGAATTCTTTTTGAATGTTTTGTTTTTGGGAAAATCCCTCCATGTTTACATATTCTTGCCATGACCTGATGGACTTTTTCTCTTGACATTTTTGGTATTTTATTTGATTCCAATTTGAGATTTTACCATTGTATGTCGTTATTCTTTCCATATTTTGTACCTATATTGAAGTTTTTG